TCAAAACTTTGAATTATTATAAAAATAATAATAATATAACAAAAATAACAATATCTTTGAGATGAATACTTTGTATTCAAAGAAAAATAATAATATTGACAATGCAAATTATAATATTTCTTATATTAATACTTAGAATTGTTGAGTATTTTTAATAATACCATGCCAAGGACTCACTGTTTATTTTCTTAAAAAATGCCATAAAAAATTATAATATAAATAATAATATTTTCTTTCATTTTTATTAATTATTTTATTAATAATATTAATTATAATAAGAATAATAATATTTCTAAAAGAAATAATAATGTCTAAAATCCTAGGATCCATGAACATTGAGTCTTAATTAATGACCCAATAGAATTAGGTCTTTATGCTAGATCTATTTATCTTGGGTCCTAACGTCACACTCATTTCCCTTGAGTCCTTAGCCTTGACTTAAGCACCATTTGTTCCCAACATAATGCAACCCAAACATCACGTGTGCACTGAGAAGTGTCCAAACCTTAGGTAGAGTCCAAGTGCAACATGCGTGTTAGGGAGTGCCCAACCCATCAGCATAGCCGAAACACTGTGTATGTGTAGGGGGCGTACCCAAGTGCCACTTGTTCTTATATGGTTTTTTTTATATAGTAATAACTTTTAATTTTTTTTTATTAATGATGATAATAGTAATAATAATAATAATTTTTAATTTTACATTTCAAATCATATCTTTGATTGTTTTTTAATATTAACAATAAAAGTTTTCTAATTTAGTAATTATTTATTAATAATATTAGTTATTATAAAAATAATAATATTTATAACACAAAAAAATAATATTTTTAGTATTATTACTTTTGATTATGATAAAAATAATAATATTCATAACACAAACAATACTATTTTTAATTCCAAGAATATTTTCTTTTCTCCTCCTCCTCTCGGTTTTTCTTCTCTTTTTTCTTTCTATTCCTCTATTTTCTTCTTCTTTTTTCCTTCCTTTCCTTGTTTTTCTTTCTTTCTTTCTTCTTTTTTCTCTTTATCTTCTCTCTTCTTTTTTTTCATCCCTCGTTGTCTCCTTTCTCCCTTGTATTTATAGGGGAGAAAGGAGACCTCACCACTGTCGAGTATCTTCTCTCTCTTTTTTTTCATCCCTCGCTGTCTCCTTTCTCCCTTGTATTTATAAGGGAGAAAGGAGACCTCACCACTGTCGAGTTAATGGCGTAGGGGTGTACGGTGGACGGGGCGACCACTCTTCAACCATCACTCTACCACCCTATGGACACCTCTCCTCCCTTAACTCTAACACGTGGAAAGCTATACAAGTGGGGGGGTCCTTGGTCGGTGTCTTTTTAGGTCATCAGGGGAAGAGAAGTCGATGAGAAACAGGGAAAGAAAAAATCTTCTTCTTCCCCTGCTTTGCGCGTCCAGAAGAAAAACAAGACCCATAATGTCGTTCAAAATGACACTGTTTTGGCCCTTTTTTTTTAATGAACAATAGATGAAATGACACCATTTTAGACAAAACACGTCTTTTCATTTAAAAAAAAGGCGGTAAAACGTGATAAAATCCAAATCAGTTTTTAATTTATGATTTGTTCAATCAAGTCATCAATTGCAATTTTAATTTTAAAAATCAATTCAATTGCATACCTGTCAAATTCAATCCTTGGCCCTGAAGTTGGCCGCCTTTCCTAAACTGACTCTTGGTTTCTGATTTATGCAATTTAACCCTCAAGTGATCAATAAACTTCTAAATTCTTCAATTTGGCCCCTGATTCGGTTTTAATTACAACCCTTCTATTTACACATCTTTTCCAATTTAGTCATTGGTTTCAGATTTCTTTAATTAAATCCCTAATTGGCCATCAGACTTCAATATTTATGCAATTAAGCCCCTGATTTAACCAAGTTAACTCTAAAAAATTATAATTTGATCTAAGAACTTTAATTTCTTTCAATTAAAGCCCAAATTGACTTCAAAATCAATTTTTATTGCAATCCAACCCTTTATAAATTCAATTAAAACTTCAATAAAATTCAATTGAGTCCATAAATATCTGATTTTGGACTTTTCTTCCTCAAATTGAATTTTTTTTGTTAACAAGACTCTCATCAGTTAACAAAATACAGTCAAATTTTAATCTTTATATTTTTTAATCTCCTCTACCAAATTCTGATCATTTTGAGCATTCTGATATCATTTTTTCATTGTTATTATTTTTTTTAGTTTTCTTGAATATATATATATATATATTCTCCTTTTTTGTGCAAGGACCTAAAAAATGGGTTACAACAATAGGCAGAGCCTAAATGTCGCGTGTGCACAGGGGGTGTGCCCAATCTATAAACAGAGCCCAAACGCCACGTATGCGTTGGGATTGCTCACCCATAGGCTTAGCCCCCATCAACAATGCAGTCCACAGTAAAAGCTCTCACAATCTAAATTGCCCTTATTTGTCTATTGACTTGATGTTCTTTGTCTCAAACAAAAGAGTTCTTTTTTTAAGCCCTGTCGTCTTCCTTTTTCTACTCTCTGCATTAGTCATATTGACTAGTATAGTCAACTATTCAAAATGAGGAGCTTATTAGCTTTACTTACACCTTATTTACCTTTTGAAATCACTAGCCAAAGCAAGTGAAAGCATTCACAATGCATTTACAATGAATTCATTCATAATAAATAGTAACCTGCGTTACAGTGAAATATCAAACTTTTTTAGTTATTGTTAATATATATACATACATAGACACAAAAAAAAATTGATTTAAGAGAGATGGAAAAAATACTCCTTATATGATTGGTTGAAAAAATAATCATCAATATCAAAGAGAAAAGGCGAAAGTATATAAAGTTATCTAGAAAGAGAGAGATGAAAAAGCTCAAGATTAAGGCAAAAACTATGCAAATAGACTTATTTTACTACTAACTTTTTTGTTTTTTTTAAGAAACCAATAGTCTATATTTTGACATTTTTACATTTTGTATTTATTCATTAAAAATTTATATGAGTTACAATCATGTTTTCACTTTTTTTTTTAATATAGCGGAATGATCTATCCAGTCTAAAATTTTTAATCTAAATAAGAGGGGTAATATAAGTTTTTATTTTTAAATTGCAATAGAATTACAATTTTGCTACTATAATAATAAAAATTTAAGTCATGCATTGAGGGGAGTATTTTTATTTTTTCAAATAGTTTTTGGTAAATCTCAGGATTATCAAGAACACTTTTATCTTTTTAGTTTCATGAATTATTTTTTAATGCAAAAACATTATTGTAGCATGTGTTGTCTGCACTAGCACATAAAAGGTGTTTGCATAATTTGGATGGTGCCTGTATTGACTAAAATTAACCTTTTATTTAGTTGTTAGATGTTTAATTGTGTTTTCTTTTTGATAATATGGTACGTGTCAATAGAGGTGAAATAGCTTGTCGTCGGTTAGGCAATGCAACCAGTAGGGCTTTCTTTATTTATTTTTCTTTCCTCTTTTCTTCCGTAAAAATTACAAATTAATCCTTTTATAAAAGTTTTATTTGTTTTCAATTTCACCATTCAATTTCATTTTATTTTTTATATATAAATTTGATCCTTATTCTTTTGATTTATAATAGGGTTTGAAAAATTAACAGGGATTGACATTTGTTTTTTAGCTTATTTTATTTTATTTCATAGTTGAAAATTGTTTTTTTAAAAAATAACTTTGTATTTTTTTAATTTCTTTTCTAATAGTTTATCTTCATGGCATAGGATGCAAGTTTGCTATTTTAATTCAGAATGGGTCTCATCTTAATCCCCATATTACATTTTATAAAAAAAAAGGTTATTCCACATATTATCTTTATTCCAAATCTTATTTTTAAGAAGCATAGTTTGTAGTTTTTCAAAACTCAACATCAAAGTTCGATTAAGATTTGATTCATTGACTTACACCTTTTGTTTTTTTTTTTAAAAGAACTTAATGTGCTTGGGTGAACTATATAATTTAAGATAAAAATTAAGAGATCTGGATTTAACTGAGAGATCCGGATTCACATGGTTTCTAGATGGTGAATCCAAATTACAAGTCCTGATTCCCTGTTCACATGGAAATGTTAATATTTGGACTTGCTGTTGAATAGCTAACATCTTGTTTATAGTTATATTTCAAAAATATTTTTAAAAAATTTAAATTTTTTTAAATTTAAATTTTGTAATGTTTTTATATTATTTTAATACAATAATATCAAAAATAAAAATTTTAAAATAAAAAATATTATTTTAATATATTTTAAAATAAATTTTATTTTTAAAAATAATTATAACCACGTTCCTAGTCACAGAAGAAACGGTTTTGCTGGAAGGGAAACCAAGGTTGCTTTGCATTTTCCCAACCACAGCAAATAAAAAAGGAACCCCCTTGCAAAGGCAAATTCGCAACGGTGGATCCAACCGTCCGAGGAATTTTATTATCTAGCCGGACCCACCTTCCCCCTTACATTTTCTTTATTTTATTTTTCTTCATAACATTAAAGTATAATATTCGGCAGCACGTTTTCACATCTTAGAGTATACATCTCATTTCTAACCCGGTTTAAGGTTAGGTCAGATGGGTTGATAGTAAATTTAAAATAATATTATTTTAATTTAAAAATTAAAAAATATTATTTTAATTTTTTTAATAAAATCAAATAAAATTTCACTGATTCTTATCTGATTTACCAAATTATAAGTTTACTTACTAAAATATTAGAGTTGAATTTGTTTTTTTTTGTTAAAATTATATATTTTTTATTTTGAATTTATTTTTTAAATATTTTTATATCATTTTAATTTGTTAATATCAAAAATAAATTTTAAAAATAAAAAATATTATTTTAAAATATTTTAAAATTAATATTAGTACAATCCTCTCCCCTAGATTAGGTAACAAATGAACAAGTTACCGAATGGATTCGTCATGTCAAATCAGGGCTAATAGTATTAGTTGTAAAAATCTTATTATTATTATTATACGATAAATAAAAAGCAGACATTTTGTTGTTACCGTCGTCTCCTTTCCACTATACCAATACATACTCGACATTCAAAATCGCCAAAAAGAAAAGAAAACTTCGATTTGGGAGAGGGAAATCGAGCTTGAAGATATACAAGTAGATTTTGTTTGTTATAATGGAAGAGGAAGGAAAGCAGCAGAGGAAGGAGGGAACAACAATGGAGGCTGGTCTTTTAGATAGCATAATAAGTCGTTTGTTAGAATTGAGGCAAACAAGGTTAGCCAAACAACCGCAGGTTCAGCTTAGCGAGAATGAGATCCGTCAACTCTGTGCTGTTGCCAAAGAAATCTTTCTTCAACAACCCAATCTTCTCGAGCTGGAAGCCCCCATTAAGATCTGTGGTAAACCTCCCTCATCTTTTCCTCTTACTATGATTCACTAAGAAACACTGCGTGGTTTTTTGCTGGATTCATTCCATTCTTTATTACATTTAGGTGGAGACTTATACAATCATTTTTTTGCTTTTCTTCCTTTTTCTTTGTTGGGATTAAACTGGACAAATCTAGATTGATGGGGGAAAAATCAATAGTTGGGAATATTAATTTAATGCTGGCTGGAAGGATTATTGGTTCAAGCAATTTATTTAGGGGATCTATTTTACCCTATGTGTCGTTTCATACAGAAGCCAAAATCTTGGATATGGTAACTGATGTGAAGACTGATAATTGGTGGACGCGGAGCTGTGGATCGGAAGAAATCTCTATTCTAGATCGCTCCATTTTTCTTAAAGTCTTGGTCTTGGTCTGAGACCGAGAGCACCCTTTTTCTTATTTCATAGTTTGGTAGATAAGATTGCTTGGAATTCTCTTCCTAGGCGCTTCAAGACTGAAGAGCAGCAACTTCAAGCATAATCTTTGGTGGATTATAATTGAGCAATGTGCTTTCTCCTTTTCTTGTCTTGTTCAAGATGTTAGCTTATTGATTATTAGCTCTGGGTATGAAGGACTTGAAGAAAATTATATAAAGAAAGAATAAGAGAGATTGAAGGGTATGATGGAAGAAATATCTATTCACTTCCGAAAAGAGGAAACCAAATAACCAGTTCTGTATGAGCTAGTGAAACCAGTTTCACTTGGTTAAGTTGTTTGAAAGTGTGTCCATATGGATGGGATCTAGGAAGCATTGATCCTTAAAAAATGATCCTGTAGCCATATTGGTCTTCATCATATATGCACTGGATATGGCCTGATACATGTCGGAGATGTGGGTATATGGAGAAAAATGATAAAACAGTAAATTCAATTTTGGATACATGGAAGATACTAGGATTTTTTTCTTTATTTCTTGTTAAAATAAGATTTTCGTATGTTACATAAAATATTTAAAAATTTAACATATCCCTCATGAATCATATACTAAATTTTTAAGAATTTTCATATCTCCATATCCATATCCTGCCATACTGGTATTCCATATTTGTGTCCATGCTTCATGAGGATGCACTAAAGGGTTCATATTTATTAAGTTTATGTGGAATTGATTGCATAATGAATAAAATCTATCTATGGTTCAGTTGTTTGTATATTGTTATGGTGAACTTGGGTGTTCATGGATTAAGCTGGATGAGCTTGTCTGTTCACAAACAACTTACGCTTTCTTTGGATCAAATTGCATTTGAACAGAAAAAGACCCTCCAAGGTTAAAGCATTTGTCTAGACAACCAAGAGGCCTCATGATGCCTGGTGTCCGAGTATTTGCCCAATGCATCATTGTAAAAAGTAGACACATAGTCATGTTTTTTTCATTTGAGAATCCAAATATAGTAAAATCTATCCTGAAGTTGTTTGCTGATATTTCCTTTTTTTGTAATCTGTCATAATTTAATATTTTTATATTTTAATTGTCTCAAAATTGCTAGGACAGTATTAGCTAACTTCATAATATGCATAAGTATTAAGTGTATAGAATGAGATAAGACTTGGTTAGTGTGCTTGATGTTCTATGTTTTGTAGCGATGATAGATTTGGGATTTCATGCTTTAGTACCTGTTTGAGAGGCTTTTTTTGGACTGGTAGTATCAAGAGAGTGTTTGTGCATGGAATGCATAATTTCTTGAACTAGCAGCACCTTAACGTCAAATATGTTTTCAACAAAACATAAGCATCCATATCTACCTTTCAGCTGTTTTTGGTTCTAGAATTCCATGTTAGGTTTAGCAATTTTTGGCTGAGCTTGTTCTTGTTAAGGATTGGCCTGTATAATTCACACTACATGGACAATTATCATGGATGCCTATCTTGCATCTCTAGAGTCAAACCCCTTCCACAATACTTGAATGAAAACCTCTCTTCCTCTAAGTGAAAAGTTTTGTTCACTTAAAAATAAGCAATGGTTGGCATTCTATGCTTAGAAACTTAAGTGATACTCTCAATCTTAATTTGACTAGCTGGTCTAAATATTTTGTTGATCCTTACATATAAATAGCACAAGCAATTTTAGAAGTTTGGACTTCTAGTTGATTAGACCAAACTGAAAATGGTGGTTTGCAATCTTTCTAAGTTAGCCTCCTAACATTTATAGGTTGATGTTGCTAGTTGGTTGGCATGTGCTAGTGTAATTGTTGTGTGGACATTAAGAGAGTGTTTCTTTTGCTTAAAATATTTTATAGGAAACTAGTCAATGTAGGATATTTTATAATCAACTTATAAACTTTATTTGTTTTTTGGAAAATAGTTTTAGGTCGTGAAGTTTTGTAAAATATTTTATAGATAATAATTAACTCACAATACTATCCAACTATTTTGACCACCACCACTACATCATTGTTGCTACTTTAGCCAACACTACCAGCCCCAACACCACGCCACCATAGTTGTACCATGTTACCATAACCACCACCACCTCTTTGAAGATGCTGCTGCCACCACTGCCATGATTTATTTCACTACCTCTGTATTTTTCACACCATTACTTATTAAACATTGTGAAATTAATTCCATGTTTAAAAATGTCTTAGAAGGCTTTTTTTTTTCTTTCCATTTTTAAAATATTTTGTGCAAAGCAAACACCCCCTAAAATGGGATATTTCAATGGAGCCTTTGATCGGTCCATTATTTGCATTTGCATTTTCTTCAAGTGTTTAAAATAGCTTGTGAACAAGATGTAGTATAAGATATAGGATTTTCATTAATTTGTTTGCACTTTAATATTTTTCTATTTTTTTTATTTAGGAAGTTTTATAGGATTATTATTATTATTATATATTTTGTAAGAATTCTTAGTTCTCAATTGGTTTAGATTAACAGGTTTTGGGTGTCTATGTAAGCATCATGTTCAATGCGTTTTGGGAGCAGACACTTCTGATGAATCAAACCTTAAATGGAGAATTATTTCGTTCATCCAACCCATTACTACTGGGTTTTCTTTTTCTCAGTCCTCTCCTATAGATTCACCTTTTCTATAGGGTGCTTTTCTTTATCTTATTCAATTCACCCCTTTCCTATAGAGAATTCTTCAATCATTTATCTTTGTCCTTACCATTGTCCTACGTCAGTTAAACATGAGAGTTACCAGTTCAAATAAAAACGAACAGTAAATGTGAGGGTTTGAAGTGCCTTGCTGTTACATAACCCATGTCATTTGGCAAGCTATTACTCTAATACATTCAACTAAACTGATAATTGTTAGCCTCAGGTACTCCTTAATAAGTTACAAAGTGTATGATGAAGAACAGGAAAAGTGATAGAGTAAAGAGACAAACCCTAGAATCCATTAGATTAAACCCTTGAGATTCGTAAAGGATTCACAAATTAAAAAAACCTCCAAAATGCTAGGCTTCTGAACTCCACAAGAATAGAAAAGAAGTTGCTTTGCAAAAATTTCATTTGTTGAAACAGCATCTCCATAATGCTAAAATGGCTGTTTATATAAGTGCACCAAAAACTTCCGAATGGTCCTATCAAAATAGGGAGCAAGCCAATAGTATCACTTATAACAAAGAAAAGCCCAAATAATCAAAAGATATCAGAAAATCAGAAAGTATGACAAAAATATCTAATTTATCTTTCATTGTATAAAATGAAGTACATGTTCATGATTCTCTTGCATTCATATCCTTGTTTCTGGGTTTTGTTAACTGCTGTGCCTTTTCCTCGTTGATTTCCAGGTGACATTCATGGGCAATATTCAGATCTTTTGAGACTTTTTGAATATGGAGGTTTTCCTCCTAGTGCCAATTATTTATTCTTAGGTGATTATGTGGACCGTGGGAAGCAGAGTTTGGAAACAATATGCCTTTTGCTTGCCTACAAAATCAAGTATCCTGAGAACTTCTTCCTTTTAAGAGGAAACCATGAGTCTGCTTCGATTAATCGAATTTATGGATTCTATGATGAATGTAAACGACGGTTCAATGTGAAACTTTGGAAGACATTTACAGATTGTTTTAACTGTCTTCCTGTTGCTGCTCTTATAGATGACAAAATATTGTGCATGCACGGTGGGCTTTCCCCTGAATTAACAAATTTGGATCAAATTAGGAACTTGCCTCGTCCAACTGATGTTCCAGATTCTGGCTTGCTTTGCGATTTACTTTGGTCTGATCCTGACAGGGATATCAAAGGCTGGGGACTGAATGACCGGGGGGTCTCATATACATTTGGCCCTGATAAGGTTGCAGAATTCTTAATGAGGAATGATATGGACCTTGTTTGTCGTGCCCATCAGGTTGGTGAAGTTTGCTTCTTCTATCAATTCTTTTAACTCGAGCAGTTTCCATGATGTGTCTTTTTTTTCTTCTGTCAAGTCGTTGAGGATGGATATGAATTCTTTGCAGAGAGGCGGCTTGTAACAATATTTTCAGCTCCCAACTATTGCGGTGAATTTGATAATGCCGGTGCAATGATGAGTGTTGATGAAACCCTAATGTGCTCTTTCCAAATACTCAAGCCTGCAGACAAAAGGTTCAGGTTCATGTGAAATGATTGCTCTTTGCTGTCCTATAACCACTTACAATTTCTATGCAAGTTTTATGCTATGAGTTCTCTTTTTTGTATTGGTTGTTCCTTTAATGGTAAATTATTTTTGTTATCAAACAAAATTCCATTCTTTAGTTATTTCTGAAAGACAAGAGCTTTCTAGGGAAGGGTGTGGGAAAAAAGACAACCTCATAGGTGATTATTTAATTTGTAATATTTGAGGAATCAATATCATTTGCTAATCGTATTGCTGCAGTAAATACAAGTAATAGAGCATGCTTCTATAAATTGGACACGATATAATTGTAAACAGAGTTGTAATCTTCTAATTAAACTGATTTGGCTAGATCTTCTGCACGCCAAATACATCTAAAGTTAGTCATTGCTCTCTATGAATTTGATTTTTTTGTTGCAATAATTTTTTTTCTCTCACCATCATGATCATGATATAAATTGTTGCTTAGCTACATAATTAGATTAGGTAAAATATCTAATACACACCAACTATGAGAAGCCCATATATTGATTCAGCGATGCAGAGGAAACTTTCATATAAAATGTAGTGTGCTTAAATGAAAAATAGAATAAAAAATAAAAGAAAGTAAGGGAATGAGGACTGGTCTAGCAATTCAATGTAGGGTCTACTTTCATTATCAATAATACCATGTTGATTTATTCTTTAATAAATGAAAGGATAAGGAGTGCAGCCCCCATTTATTTTATGTTGAAGCTCTGCCAATGCTTGCCGTGTAATGGCATAAATGATTCACATTTTAGCCATATAATAGGATTCAGAATTGTATTATATCTTGTGGGTGTTTGTGACTAGTATGTTTGTTGTTGATGGTGCTTTTTGAGTGGCAGTTTATCTTTCTGTTGCTATTTTCTTTGCTTGAAGGCTAAGAATAAGCTTCACTTTTTAATGGGTAGAAATTTCAAGAGCAAAGCTGTTAGGGAAAATGAAGTTACTTCTGAATTTTGTTTAGATCTTTTTTGGGTTTCTGATTTTATCAATCGGTTAATTTTCAGTTTCATGAAAGACATTATATTTCATATAAAGGCATACATTGAAGAGCAATTCTTTGAAACTGTAGACTTTTATGTCTAATCCCATTTCAATGTATGAGCCAACTAAACTGTTCCATGGAGAGGTGTTGTTGTTCCTTTCTGAACTATGCTTTTTTTATTTTTTATTATTATTTTGTGCTTCCTAGCTTTACTTTACATCAGCATACAACTGGTCACCAATCACTGAGTGTCATTTTTCAGGAAAGAAAATCTGTTTTTTTTTTTATTTCTCTTTATGATGGACAACAAGAGTTTATTTTTAAAAAATAGCAGTGTTGCTGATTAACAAACAAAAGCTTGTCCCTCAAGTATCACCACTGCTACCACTGGCAAAAGCTATATTAGTTTCATGTTTAAATCTGCCAGCAACTCCTTCAATATCCAAACTGTCAACAAGCTGTGACCTCATATCTTATGATAACCTACACTACCAAAAACATCGATGCATTGCCTTATAACAGTTTTCACCACCATTGAGAAGCAAATGAGTCTTTATTCGATGTTATTGTCCAATTTACTATAGGTCCTTACTCTCTCAACATTTTCTCAATGCAGCTCCTTTACTCCTCTTCTATTTAGCTGGTCCCTCTACTCTAGAAAATTTCTTACTGTTGTCCCTCTATAAAACTTCCTTCCGATTTACCTCTAATTCTTGACAACAAGTCAGAAAAAGTGGACACGTGTATATAATTAATGGTAAATTGGATGGGACTGCATTAAGAAATTTTCTAGAGGAGAGGGGCTAACTACATAAAAAAGAGTAGAAAGGCCACAGTAAGAAAATGCAAATTATAGGGACCAAATATATGATTAATCCATTTACCATATTCAGTGATACCCAGCACTATAAATAACATGACTTTACCTTTCTGCCATCATCACTTTTTTACCACTGCTGCTATTATTTTTTGTCTACTTCATCATCATTACCACCTCCATTATCCTCTGAACTCCTAGTGTGCATTTCATTCCTTGGAGCCAATTCTGAAAGATCAAACATCATTATCAATCTGCCATGCTACCATAAATACAGCTGAAAGCAACATCTCCACTTTGCACTTGCCTTCATCAAACATATCCATAACCACCTTGTCCTTCACCACCAGCAGTTCCCTGCTATTGTGCCCCATTGCCTCCTTTATAATGCTTATTGGATGTGGAACCACCTTTCTTTTTCATGCTTTCTGGTGTACCACTCATGCTTTTATCACATAGTGGTCCCCTGAAAGTACTTTTTATTTTTTATTTTTATACGTAGGCTGAATTTTAAACAAAACGGTTTTGCTGCCTCCAGTAAATATGCATAGTAATAACCGACATGTTTAGATTGTGAGAAATTGAAATATACACAAGTTTTTTAGTTGTTGTACAACTATGCATTAGTTTAGATGTTGACTCTTCCATTAGTTTTTATTGATCATTTAAAGTTTGTTTCTTCTATATGACAGTTCAAATTCTTCTCCTTCATTGTTCTTATATTCCTCCTGTAATTGACAGGTTTTGGTATTAATTGCTCTGACTTCTAATATGTTGATTTTATTCCTGTTACATTCGCTTTCTGTTTTGCTAATCCTTGTGCACCTTTGTTGTAGAACTTATTTTCAAGTATGTTACAGGGAGAATCATTTGGGTATGAAAATGTTGCCATCAAAGCTGCTTCAACTTTGAGCTGCAGCCACCATGCTGTTACAATGTTTCTCGTGTTGAGGGTACGGGGTTATTTATTGAAAATGCTCTGTTTGCAGGAGCTTTCCAAATTCCAAAATTTGGAGCTGACTGTTTTTTTATAGCAATGTCATAGGCCAGTTTTTCCTTTTCGAGTTCTAGCGCAAATTATGATGCCCGTGTATATACATTTTATCTATAAATGACTGCACTGATACAGCAGTGCACGATTGCCTGCCTTTTACTAAGAATTTTTTTGATGGTAAGTTCCCAAATGACTCTCGCAAGCTAGTGCACTAGGGTTCTGGCCTCTGATTTTCTCGGGCTTTTTTGGGGCCCAAGCATCAGATGAAGTTTGTGAATTGACTGAGCTGCCAGCATCAGTTTGTTGGAATGTTCGAAGGAAGCCTGAACGGATAAACTAAGTGTTGGCAAGCAAGTTCATTCTTGTTTTACTATTTGTCTCGCTTTGAGCTTGGTGCCGCCAAGAATCATTCTAAATTCCATCGTAAAGAGTACTGAAACTTTTTTCTTTTTAACACAACTTGACGGTCACAGAACATGTGAAGAATAAAGTGTAGCTCGCTCGTCTTGTTATGCTTGCAAGGATTGTTTATTTATTCAACTTTATACGAGTTTGGTTTGCTATATAGGTCTTGTTTGGCTTTGTTTTTTATTTTTTTAGTTTTAAATTATTTTTTTGTATTTTTGAATTATTTTAATGTGTTGATATTAAAAAAATATATTTATTTTTAATATATTTTTAAATAAAAAAATATTCCCCTCTTCAGTTGCCTAATTAAAAAAAATTCACATGCTAAAGATGCCCGGAAGCCAAATGGTTCAGGTATGATGTCTGCATATAATATTATATACATTTAATAAATGCTTGTAAGCTGGTGGTGTTTGGACGAGTGGACCCTGAGAAGGTGACGGAAAGTGGTGTTTGGGTTGGTGGACCTTGAAAAGATGGCGTTTGAGATGGTGGGCTTAGATGGAGGAGAATGCCTTCGGAATGTTGTTGTTTGAGAAGGCGAGCCTCGAAAGGGTAGCGGGTGCCTATAATAATACGGTATTTGGGTTGGTGGACCTTGAGAAGGTGGTGTTTGCGATGGTAGACGTTTGAAAGATGACCAATATCGATGAACTGATAGGGTTTGAGTTGACAGAACTTGAGATGGTGGTGAGTGCCCATAAAAGGGTAGTGTTTTAGTTGGTGGATTTCAAGAAGACGGTGGATGTGTAGTTTTTGGCAGTACAGAAACATCAAAGAATACAGTAAAATCAGCAACATAGAATAATTATTATGACAGCAAGATATATTCTTTATTAATTGAATCACTTTTTTATATAAAAATTCTAATAAAAAATTATAGAAAACAAATGATAAGATTTTAACAAAAAAAAAACAAATTTTATATTAGTTTTATTTGCAACTAACTTCCTAACTTATTGAAGATAATCTTAACTCATTTTTCTTATATCGAAGACCACTTCTTCAGCGACAAAGAAGCCAACAATCAACACTTCTCCTTCCATCTTTTGTTGTAAATACCTATTTTGTCCCTCAAAGTTTTAAACCTTATTTTAGATAAGGACTTGATAAATATATTAACAAGCTGGTCTTCTATCTTGCAATAACTCAGATATAATTCTTTATTTTTCTGAACTTCTCTAAAAAAAATAGTATTTAAGCTTGAAATGCTTTGTTTTGTTATGAAAAATTGGATTATTAGATATTGTAATTGCGGCTTGATTATTAACATAAATCTTACTAGCTTTTCTTTGCTCTGTGTCTAAACCTGCTAGGATCTTCCTAAGCTATAAGACTTGATTTGCAACTACAGTTGCTGCAACTACAGTTGCTGCAACATACTCTGTCTTTGTAGTTGATTGTACAATAATTTCTTGCCTTTTGAAACACCAAATGAAAATTTTTGATCCAAAACTAAAACAATATCTAAAAGTGTTTTTCATGTCATCAAAATTGCTAGCCTAATCATTATCTGCATATCCTTGTAGTTTAAAATTTTCAATATAACTAAATTGAATGCCATAACTTAATGTACCTTTGATATACCTTATTATTCTTTTTGCAGCCTTGAAGTAAACTTCACTTGCATAATCCATGAATCTTGATAATAAACTTACAATATGCATGAAATCAGGTCTTATTGTTGTGAGGTACATCAGACATCCAATCAAATATCTGTAAACTCCTTCTACTTTGTCAACTCCATCTTCTTTATAGAACTTTCCTTTCAAATTCATAGGCGTATTCATTAGTTTGTATTCTTTCTTTTTTAATTTTCTTAAAATCTCTTTGACACATTTTTATCAGCCAATAGAGATCGTACACTGGTTTTGTTACACTTCCATACCAAGAAAATAGGACATTTCATCAAGGTTTGTCATTTCAAAGACCTTCATCATTTTTGTTTTAAATTAGTCTATCATTTTTGGATTATTTACTGTAACAAATAGATAATTAATATAGAGTGAAACCAAAATGTAATTAGGATTTGAGTATTTGAATTGGTCTATCATTTTTATATTTCAGCATATCTATTAATTCCCATGTTTGATTCTTCTTAATCATCCTCAGCTCCTTTTTCATTGCATTAATCTATTTTGGATCATTTTTAGCCTTTTCAAATTCTGCTGTAACATAGCTACATTGCAACTTTGATAAATGTCATCAAGCAATCTAGTTCCTTTAACTGGTGCTTCATCAATATAATCATTAAGATCTTATATAATCTCCTTACTTGCATTTCGTTCTGCATCTTTGAAGTTCCACTTTTCAATTTCAAAAAACTTGATGTCTCTGTTAACTATCACTTTTTTGTATGAGGTTAAAAAACTTTGTAGCCTTTTGTAATATTGTTATAGCCAATAATAATGTCAACTTCAGCCTTTCTATCAAGTTTATCTCTTTTAACTAGAGGAACATAAGTGAAACATAAGCATTTAAAAATCTTTAAAATGTGGAGTGAGGATTTATAATCATGCCAAGCTTTATATAGAGTCTTGTTTTGTAATGATCTTATTGGTAACCTATTCAATAAGAAGATTGCAATGTTTACAGTCTTTGCCCAAAATTTCTTGGGTAAATCTTTCTCAAATAACAGACACTTTTTCATCTCCATTATTGTTTTATTTTTTCATTCACTTACACCATTTTGTTAAGGAGTGTAAAGCACCATATATTTATGTTCAATCCCTGCATCATGAAAAAACATGACAAACTTATTTGAGGTGTATTTGGTGCCATTATCAGATCTTAAAACCTGAATTTTATAACCATTTTGATTTTTAATCCAATTTTTAAACTTCAAAAAAACATTTGCTACCTCAGTCTTAAACTTTAGGAAATAGACCTAACACACTTTTGTATAATTATTAATGAAAACAATATAATACCTATTTCCATTCAAAGATATTGTCTTCAAAGGTCCAACAACATCAATAAGAATAAGCTGAAGCTTTTCTATTGCTCTCCTAGCCTTGTTCAGAAGAAATAGAAGTCTGTTTTGCTTGCCATATTAACAAGAAGTACAAACTAAGATTTCTTTTTCCAAGTTTGACATTTCTTGCACCATCTTCTTTTTTTGTATATACACCAATGTTGCTTGATTGAAATGCCCTAGTCTCTTATGCCACAATTCAGTCTGATTTGTTGTGCTTAAAAAGACAGTTGACTCCTCTTCCATCCAATCTATTGAAAAGCTTTTCCTTTCATCTTTATAGTGAATATTTTTAATTCATCAGGATCAGAAATTAAACAATGTTTATCTTTGAACATAGTTAAATATCTTTTCTCAAGAAACTCACTAGCACTTAATAGTTTTTAATCAATTTTAGATGAAAAAAGAACATCTGAAATGAGTTTTAAACATGAATTTCCTTCAATAATAATTGTTCATTTCCCTTTGACTAAAATATATTCACTATTGCCAATTATGACTTTAGAGACTTGATTTGTTAAGTTGCTTGAATAGATTTTCATCATTCGTGCAACCACTATCTATAATTCAGCAATCACTTGCATGTTTACTATCAAAATAAATGGCCATAAACAATTGCTCCTCTTATTGGTGATTAGCAACTTGAGCTTTACCTTCTTTTTAATTAGTTTTTCTTTTGAAATCATCTCCATATATCTTAATTTATTACATTTTTTGCATCTAACATTAGGTCTCCACATCAACATTTTCGTAAGTGATTTGTTTTCTTGTAGTTTCCAATTCTTTTATTGTTGCTACCGATTTTTTTATATTTTTTGTTCTTGTTTTTTTCCTTTATCTCCTTCCTTGACTTGTAATTTAGCTTGAAAAGCTCATTCAATGGACTCGTCTTGGCTTATTATTCTTGTGTCTGTAAAGCATTGAGTAATTCTGCCAAAGAAATTTTTGACAAATCTTTAGAATCTTCTAATAAAGATATTTTTTACTCAAACCTTTCAGGTAAAGTCATATGAATTTTCACTCAAGCCCTTTTATCAAGAAGGCCTTCCCCCAATAGTGTTACTTTATTGACTATAGAAATTAATCTGTCAAAGAATTCTCTGATTGTTTCTAATTCCTTCATCTTCTACATCTCAAACTCCCTTCTCAAATTCAAGACCTGCATATGAATTGTTCTCTCATTTCCATGGAATTTCTTTTTAAGATAATTCCATATTTGTTTGGTTGTATTAAGTGCAATGATTCTTAAAAATATTGCTTCAGAAACAACAGAGTAAAGACATGTTTTAACTTTGAACTTATTATCTCTTTCCTGATAATGGTTTCTGATTTGAGCGAGAGTAGGATTTGTAGGAATTGTTTGTGGATCATGTTTTTGATTTACACCATCCTAAAAATCGCATGCTTATAAGTCTGTTTTCATTCTTATAGCGCATATCTGATAGTTTTTATTAGTAAATATTGGTGATGATGCCAGAAAATAAATGTTTGATGCTATTGAAAATGATAGGAGGTTTAGGTATTTATTTTTTTAGTAGAAAAGGGTTCCTCACAAGTTACTTTTTTCACTTAAGCTAGTCCTTTAAGATCAATTATGCTCTGATACCACTTTGTAGCTTTTGACAGTATAGATAAATTAAAGAACAAGAATAAAACCAACAATATAAAATAGTTGTTATTGTGACTAGAAGATATATTTTTTTATTGATTGAATCACTTTTTTATACAAGAGTTTTAATAACAAATTTCAGAAAAATAATGACAAGATTTTAACAAAAAAAAAAGAGTTGTTTTATAGCAGTTTTATTTGTAACTAACTTCCTAACTTGTTGGAGATACTCAACTTTCTCAACATCGAATACCACTTCTTCAGCAACAGATGAGGCAACCATCAATAAGATGTCTATGAGAAGTTAGAACCCCACCAGACAGGCTTTGTGATTGTGATGTTTGTATTGATGGCCTTAGATAAGGTAATGAATATACATGAGAAGGTGGCGATGACAAGTATACGTGCGAGGGTGGTGTTATAGGATATGGTTCATATCCATAAGGGGGAGGTGCTTGTATTAGCGGTGGATGACTTTGATGACACAACAAAAACCAATGCTTAAACCCTCATAATGAAACATGTTTTTATTAGAGGAACCTACCACCTTCAAAGGGTTTGTCAATCCAAAC